TTATTAGCCTTAAAATATTAATGTTGATGTGTGTACCATGTTACCTGTACAAATGACTTGATGGGTAGAAAGGGAAAAAAATATGTATGCGGTATTATATGTACAGTATTTTTATCCAAAAGCATATTTTTATGCCGTAAAGTGGTATGAAAAGTAACGTATAACAGCTTTTCACATTTGGTTGTTATTCCATATTTAATAAGTTTGCCCTTTTAATGCAAAAAAAAATGTTGCTATATTTAACTTATAAGTTTGCACAAATTTTCCTATTTTGAGTAAATTGTCTCCAAAATTATCTGTAGTTCCTTCCCTACTTAAAGACGTTTTCTGACGTAAGCACATCCAGAGGCTATTTTGAAATGTCAGGAATTTGACACAAAACTTGACATACTTTCACACTTTTGAAAATGTAATTATTAATAAATTATGAGTTTATCAGTGTAGTTCAATGCTGACAACATAGATAACACCTGGTCTCTCAAGAGAGAGGATTAGTTCCTGGAATTATTTGTTTTTAGTTACTTTAATGGCAACACAGTGTCACTTGATGTGCTATCATCGCATTTTGTTTTCAATGATTTGTAATTTCTGACATTGCAGTCCAAACAGTTATATACAAAAATATTTTGGCATTGATGTATTATACCTTAAATGTTTGAATCGCATGGAAGTTATTCTTACACTCTTTTTCTTAAATGTTTTAGTTAAGGTGATTGTCTTCTAACACTAATTGTCATACAGTTTCTTAAAGAAAAGTTGGCCTCTTTTATTTCTAATAAAAATTTAGACTTGAACATGTCTTAATCTTTCCGAATATACAGTAATTTCAATGTAAACATGTTGTATTCTATCCTTTGTACAGTAGGTGGATGATGTCAATATGAAACATATCTTTAGGAAATACCAAGTGTACCATCTTGATAATAGATTTAAGCTACTCTTTTCCAATAGAAATATTCAAAGATATGATAAACTCTTACACTACAGAGTACTGTTTTTTTGTTGTTGTAAAGAATGTTGATTTTAAAGGTGCATTGTAGGCGGATAAAATCACAAAACTCATTCTTAAAAAGCTATCAAAACCTAATAACAACTGTTGCATAAAGACTTAACTTATTCAAGTGGAAATTGAATCCTGCTCTATTATTCCCCTTAATTCTAGCAAATAATGTTTTTATCGCTTTAGAATAACTTTGAAAAACGTGTTATTACAAACCCTACATAGATTGTATTCTAACTGAGCAAGGTAGTAGTACAGTCAATTTGGAGTTCTACTACTCCAATTTGAGGTAAGACGCCTGGCTATTTACAATCCCCACCTGCCCTACTTTAATCACACCTGTTTTTGCTGGGCCTGATTTTTTTCCCATGGCCTTTTATCTCTGCTCCTGTCAGATTGCTGATTGACTATTGCCATCTCCTGTTTACTCAGGAGTTCCAAGATGCCAATTTCTGAAGCACACTTTAAGCTTGGACTTATTTATAGTTAGACAAACAGGTATGTTAGTTGGTATTTTTTCCCTCAGTGCTTGGATGTGTCTTTCTGAGTTTAGTAAAAGGGCATGGTTTAATTGCCACTTAAGGATAGGTTGTGTGTAATGGAATATAAACAATCACAGGTTGGCATGACCAGTGGAGACATATTTAATAGGCCTTGCACTTACAGACAGTTTGTTGCAGTTTGAACGCTCATCTGCATTTGTTTCACAATGTGGTAGCATGCTGATTTGTGTCTGGTAAGCCTACAGTAGCACCCATTATAATGATACATTTCATTTGTGGATATGTTTGCCACTGCTTATAAATATTATTCAGTTCAGTAAGAAGAGGGAGAAAATCATATGTTAAATGAATAATTTTTATAAATACATTGGTCTAGTAATTTTTGCGTTGCATATGAGGCTTAAAATAGCAAATTATGATCGAAAAACAGGGGGTTGTCTTATACGCGTAACACATACCAGTATTTGATTTAAATCATATTCGTCTTATGTGTAGATCATCTGTAACATATGCACATTCACTGCTGAAATGAAGACTAACTGTTGGTATGAACACAGATCCTATAGTAAGAATGAATGCAATTTTATATTGCATCACAGTATTTGAAAGATTAGATTTGGGTCCGTTTTTAGCCATCTAGATGCTGCATCAAGACCATAAAGAGCAAAAAAAAGTAGGAATTTTGACGGTGAAACAGGGGAGGGGGTGGGGTGTCATCTTATACGCCAGACAGGCAAAAATCTTCCAAAAATTTTCTCAAATTTGGGGGTCATGTAGCAGATTGCCTGATATGCCAGAATATAGTGGTTTAATTGTATGTTTTCTTTAGCATTTTATTCAAGATTTTGAACACTGGCATCAAGCCAGACTATAACAACTGGTCAAAAGAAAAATATTACTTTACCAATACCTTAGCTGTACTGTATGCACTGCCTTTATATAATTTAGGTTACCGATTTGTATCTTTTGATGTTGAATCTCTGTTTTCAAATGATCCCGTTACTAAGTAAAGTAACTGTTTTCAAATGATCCTGTTAATTAATATAATTCTTGATAGGGTTTACAATAAGAAACTGATATCTACTAACCTTAAGAAAAATTTGCTAAGGAAACTACTTAGAGATTGCTGTACTAAAACTGTATTTACATGTAATAATGAATTTTATAAACAAACTGATGGTGTCTCAATGGGTTCGCCTCTTGGCCCAGGTTTAGCTAATATTTTAATGACTGAACTAGAAGAGTCTATTGTTACTAAACTTATTGAATCAGGTACTATTAAGTTTTATACTTGTTTTGTTGACGACACTCTAGTATTAGCTAAGCCCAATGATTTCCCGCAAATTCTAAGCTACTTCAATGCTTTTCATAGACTGATAAATTTTACTTTTGAATCATTTGAAAACAGTGACACAGCACACTTTCTGGATTTAAAATTTAACAACAGTGTAGGAAGCATGAGTACTGTATATATCGTAAAAATACACATACAGGTCAATATGTCCATTATGATAGCTTTGCTCCATGGAACATAAGATCTCCTGGATTCGTAGTTTAGTTTCTAGAGCCACAGATTGTGTACTCCTGATAAACTTCAAACAGAGCTTAGTAACATCAGAAAGTTTATGTCTTGGAATCGGTACCCTTTAAAAGTTGTTAATAATGTACTTAAGAAATTAAATGAACCTAAATATACATAGGCCTACGATAGCTTGATTAAGATTTGGGTTAGATTGCCTTATCTAGGAAAACCAGGTGAGTTCATTTTACGTAGATGTTTAAATAAGGTAAAGAAACACTTAATTAAACAGGTAAAATTCATAACTTTATGGCAGTATAAAAATGTTTCTCATTTTATATCTACTAAGGATCAAACCCCTAAGGAGTACAGAAGTTCTGTTGTCTATCATTTTAAATGTCCAGGCTGCAATAGTGATTATATTGGTAAGACAGATACAGTAGGTGCTTAATAACTAGACTTAAAGAACTTACTTCACGATCTGATCATGTTATATTTGATCATGTTAAAAACTGTGAGGCATTCCAATATGTTTTAGGATTACAGGGTATACTTGAAAATGATAATGTCGTCTGTAATGTAAGTAATAAATTAGGTTTAATATTTTCTAGTACTAACATTATTGACAGCTCCCGAAACTGGACTATCCTATAATTGTTTAAAGAAGTGTCCGCTATATGTAGACTACACCCTTTGCTTAACAATGGGCTCAGAGTTTCAAAAGAGCTTTCTTTGTTTTTGTAGGTATCTTTGATCATTAGAGTAAGAATGCTTTGATCTTTTGTTTAAATCACTGCTATGTCACCTACTAGAGGTAATGTTTTGATTGGTTAAACACTTTTGGTACTAGTGCATATAAGCTTGCTAATATGGATAATTTTTCATTCCTGATGATGACATAATTAATGTCGAAATATTGAATCCCAACACGATGGCGTGTATTTCAATACTTGGAGTATGTATTATACTTTCTTATATGAGTGTATATAATCATTAAGTTAAGAAGCAAGGAAAGATTTACTGTGTGTAAGATTTTTTTTTTAAACATAGAGGATGATGATTATCATAGCAAATTCCTTTAGAAGAGTTTACATCTCAGTTAGATATAATCTATTATGCAATGGCCTTTAAATGAGAGATTAGTATACTAAGTCGGAGGTAAAGTTCAAGTTCAAGGAGGTCGTCTGAATGGTTATTTTATATAAGACTTAAGTTAATCATTGATAACAGCTTAGCGATGACATAACAGGACTGGTCTTAATGCATTCACAATAATTCTTCCGTATTTAAGTTTTATTGTGATGTATTTAGTGATTCCAAATCTCTACCCTAAAGGTATTCAAAGAAAGCTGGTCTCACACATGTTTTTCCATGATATTGTATGCTAGGCCAGCCCCTGTGCCTCAAATTGCCTGTAAATGATGTAGTGATGTGTGTTGACGCATTTTGTTTAAGTAATTTTGGTTCCTTCTGTAGCGTTTTGAGCACTACTACGGTGGATTTGTACGCTTTATGATTCTTACTATATTTCAATACTGTGCTATGCTCTGTCTGAAATTGTTTGGTGTGTACCACACACATTGCCACAGGGTACGAGGATACTAACTTTACTACTACTTGGTAGCTTTGATTACACAACGATGGTAGGATTTAGGACCTAATAATTCCATCTACGCAACCGACATCTCATTGTCTGAATTTTAGGATGCAGTTCATCCAGAAACCATGCTGTGCAGACAACACAACGGTGAATATAACCAAGTTTTAATATACCTTATATATAAATATAAAGCAGCTGTCTACATTAGCCATTTCCATCTGTGAGCTGTATACACAGTGTCCGTGCCGTTCTCGTACCCCAAGGTGCCATAGTCAATTTTGGGTAGTACTTCTTCCTTCGTCTGCGTAAATATGCATGCACCGAGAAGTAGTTGAAACTACCGCACTGTGTACTGCATTTACCAATGAAATGTTTATTACCTGATGAATATTTATGAGGTATAGTAAAATTTAGAACTTTTTATTTTTTTCCTGTTGTCTTTAAATATCAGGACTCTGGACAATGACATGCCAGAACCTTTAACCGCAATCCAGCTAAAAAAATGTTCATCTACGACATAAGTCTTTAGAGGTTTTCAATAAGCTTTAGTGGAATATTTAGTTAGATCAGTGAGATAATAATGAATGTTTAATTTAAAAACTAGGACAAAGTTTAATAATTTCACTATTGTGACAGTCAACGATGTACAAAGGCTGAAAGGTAATTACATCTATACTGAAATTTATGACTTGTACTTATGAAATGAATCATGCCCACACAATATTGAAAACCATTTAATTTAATATCTTTCTATTTATTCAGAAATTTAGCATTTCATTAGATTTAATTTCTTTTTGCGATGCTAATTAATGGGAATCATTTAGTCCACGTGTACGTGTTAAAGTGTATGATCGAAATCATAACAGGTAGGAGTTCTAAAAGGTATTAATTAAACTTTAATATAATAAATTTAGTGAAAACGCCGAAAATTATACATTATTTGAGAAAATTTATGTCTGCGTCTGCTTTTTTCACCTTCTTGCTAAGTTTCTCAAACAGTCTAAGGTCTTGCTTTGTGACCGTACTGATCTGTGTAAACTCATGTACAATACAGCCAAACTTCCAAATAGAAAGTAGTATAAAGACGTATTTAAGAGCAACAAAAATACATTTAATAGAACCAGACATCTTCAGTGTAACAAAAAAATAAAATTGAATTCAGATATTCTGAGGTTTATATACCTTTGCTTATAACTTATGCACATTGGAGTTAATTCATTCTAAATAGGTATTTGAATACATAGTAGTGTCGTAACTTGTTGGCACGTTAAAATTACGTAATTCAAATTTTAGTTTCTCAAACAGTCTAAGGTCAAAAGCAAACTTTAATAAATGCTTAAACTTTAATAAATTTAATATATGTACCATGTTTGTAAAGATTGCTTGGTTTTAATGTATCTGGTTTGATGTTTTTCTTATATGTCCTCCATTTCATTTTTTACACTGCCTTTGCAAATTGTTTTTTTAATAAGTTTTCCATGGTATACCAAAAGTAAATAATCATATGTTTGCCAGTCTCCGTTTAATTTACACAAATTTTATGATTTTCCTATTCGAGTCCATTCTTCTACCCTACAAATTAACTTGTTCTTTTTCCTGTCTTTTTGAGTTAGAAAGATAAATAAATAAGTTATTGGCTGGTGTCCACAACTTGGTTCACATGAAAATTGTGTTCAAATGCTTCGACATGGAGAATAAAAATAAAATCTTAAACTCCAAAGATGCAAAAGACAAGATAATACGAAAAAGAAAAGAAAGATATGGCATGGAAATTTAATAATAAGCAACCAGATCAGTTGTTTTATACTTCAAATTAAATTATTTATTTATTTACTTTTTATTTATTTATTTATATTTATTTTTAATTATTATTTTTTTTTGTCTTGTATTAAATTATTATACTTCTAGTTGATTTCCAACCATGCTGCTATTGCATTAAATAATACATTATTATTTAATGTATTATTTAATAATACATTATTATTAATTTTAAACATTAAAATTGGCACCATATACCACTCATAAGCACCACCGCCACCCAACTTGTGTGAACCCCTATGATCTTCTTGGGTAGCATCCAACTAGAACCAGAAATTATTTACAACATATTAGATCATGGCGATTTTTTAGCTGAATGAAATTGCTGAGATATTTTTTACAAATTGTGTGAGATGCAGGTATAAAGGAAGAATCTAGAGATCAATGCTGTAGGTAATATTTAATACTCTTCAACAGTTGCTGAGACAGATGATTTAACACCATCCATATACAAAGCAGAGAGCAGGAGCCTTTCTGGTTGAAGCACCATTAGATCCACTCTCCTTGTATTTCAACAAACAGCTTAGGTTTCAATCTCCAAAAACCCTTCAGAGTACAGCTGAATTAAGAGTGAGTGTTGAGAAGCATTATGAGGTTAAATAGTAGGATTAAAATGCATTCCCAGTTACAGGTGTAATCATATAAATCAAGAAATATCCACATTTTAAAAATTATTTTACAGTATCATATTTTGTTCTATAATGTTTATATCTACAGTACCGTAGTTATTTATACTGTAGATGCATTCAACAAATGAACATGGTCACATATTTTTTTTGTAGGCTTGGAAGGGGTTTTAGACACTCTCATAATTTTATTTGCAGAAAGTGAGGGAACATTTGGCAAATTTGCATCCTTTGCAATCCCATCCATTAAAGGTGGAAGATATGATACGCATTTTAAAACAACCGCACATATCTTACAATTATCATCTTTCTACTATTTTTCAAAATTGTTTTAAAAATGAATAAAAAAAGAAAATTATATTCATATTTAAGTCTCAGAGTGCTATTTCCGGTCATCTAGAGGTGCGATATTCATTTCTTACCTGGGCCTCCTTTATTTCAACTTCCTAGATTCCTTCATTGAGAAATGAAGGAGATGACAAGAACTTTATAATCACTTGTCATGATGCCCTTTTTAGTAGATCTGTACAAATATACAAAAGAGCAAGAATAATCATATTTAGATCAAGTAATGCCTCCCTTTTATCACTTTCATTATAATCCGTATTGTGCTATCTTCCAAGGCAATACAATGGAGTTAAATCGACCGAAAAATTTTGGTCAAAGAATGTCAGGGGTTATGAAACGTGATACTTTTCAAACACTCACATGTTTGTCTGGTAGTGTGAGTAGCCATAAATAATTTCATAAAATTCTTGCATATTATTAGGACAAAAGCTATAATTTTATTTTAATTGATAATTTAGAAGTTGTTTTATAGTGATAATAATATGTGGCTATACACATACCCTGGTTTAGTGGAAATGATCAAAACACAATCATTGATTGGCTAAAGTTAGGATAGAAGCAACATGTTTCATTATAAAACATTAAGTAATAAACATGATTGTATTTGTTACATGCGTTGTAAATGTCATGAAGGAAATGTTTGCTTTTCTGGTATCAATGACCAAAGCCTTTAAAAGCTATCCATTGAATTATCAGAGACATTTATTTTAATTGCTTTTCCTCTTGAAAGACAAAAATTTCTCCTCTTGCGTACTGTCTTGTAAAATCTAGAGGATTCGTTGGCGGGGAATGAGCTGTCTCTTGATAAACAGTAATAGGCCTCGGTGTCATCTTTAATGTTGTAGGAATTTTGGTTTGAAGATACGCGTGGGATGCCGCACACTCTGCTCGACTTATCGCCACCATTAACGTTGCAATTAGTTGCAAAGTTTTGCTTCATGGTGAAATTTCAGGAGCAATATCAATTGTCTGTTTCATTCTAGCCGTGCATCCCCCATTGGAGTACATGTTATTTCATATTTTCTATCTTAAGCCAAATAAAAAATTTACTAGTTTCTCATCTTCATTGCCTTTTTTTTTTTTTAATTTCCTTTATTTTACAAAATGTACGATAATCAGGGTAACTCACATCAGTAAAATTCCTCGCTCAATTGTTCATGGTTAGGGATATATGGTATGAATCATGTCTAGTGCTTCTTTTATTTGCCTTCAATGTGTCTAGTTGGTAAAAGTGAGAAAGTAGCAGCTATTTTCCATTGACCATCTTGGATTTGCCATCTTGGAGTTAAAAAATAGAAAAATGTGCCCTCATTTTTCTTTTTTCAAAATATTAGGACGAGAAACTACTTTTTTTTTTTACTTGGCCCGTATCAATCGCGATTATATAGCTTTGAAAATTCTCAAAGGTATACTATCAATTTTAAGGTGAAGATTTTACTAATTGGGGAAAACAATTTAGAAAAAGTAGTTTGGAGCAATGTTCAAGAAAATTTGTGTCATATAACAAGTAAAAAGATTCAAGAGCACTGAACTCACAGAAATGCCTATTTCTCAGCTATCCTTGGCGTTCATCTAACTTTCCTGCTCGAATTTCTCTACATACTGTACACCACATGTATCTTCTTGGATAGAGAAAGACAAGCATAGATAGTCCTACCTACCTAACAAAATTCACACACAAAGGTTTCAAACCTCTAGCCTCAAAGAGTCCGATTCTAAAGGGTTCCAATTAATGAAATCGGGACGCACTCCCTCAGGCGAGCAAGAATCTCCTGAAAAAAAAACCTGTCTCTTTAAATTTTCTAAAATAATTTTTAGAGATTAAAAAAAAAGGAAAATTATATTCAAATTTAAGTCTGAAAGTGCCATTTTCGGCGATCTAGAGGTGCTATAATCATAAATTTTCTCACCTCGGCCCAACCATGGTGAGCCTGAAGTGGTCTAGCCCCCTCCATTCATGAAAGTCCCTTCCTGAAAGTCTCTCACTGGGTCCCTCTATTTGAAATTCTTGGATCCACCACTGCAGATCTGGAATTAATATAACATTTCTAATGAAATTTTGAAAATGATATATACCTTTTAAAAAAAAAAAGAAACAAACCACACAGCATCGCACCATTTCAGCGACCTCCCAAAATACTGGCCAGTTAGGTCACAGGTGGTTTTCCATTCTATTTTGATTTTTCATAATCTTATTTTTTTTTCTTGTTATTTAGTCCCATATTTTTTTAGCATTTCCCTAAGGCCCCAAAAAAAATTATACTTGGTTTAGCGTCACATCGTCAAGAAACAATGGGAAAGAATCGCCTGCCCTTTGCTAAGAGTGTACACTGCGTTCCTCAATATGCACATGGGCATTATTGCACACATTACCAACAATACCATGTCATTTCTACCCTCCATCTGGTTTATATAAATGTTTATATAAAGTTCTCCATGGTTTGGTGCACTCATTGTGGCTACCACCAGTTTACCTAGAACTAAACTATACTGCTCTCTTATATTACTAACATTACATACGGTATGATGATTTGCTTGATGCCGATGGTTAACAAGTATATTTAGGCAAAGGGCAGGCGATTCTTTCCCATTGTCATTGAATCCTGTATAGACTCCAGCCGAATCCAGCGAATCATCATACCGTATGAACTGTATAGTAATACAAGAGAGCAGCATGGAATGTATGCAATATTGCCCATGTGCATATTGAGGAACGCAGTGTACACTCTTATGCAAAGGGCAGGCGATTCTTTCCCATTGTATCCGCGCATTTCACCACCAATAGGAGTTAACTAGAATTAAGTTTTTCAGACTTTCTTGGGATATTCTTGATTTTTTTCACACTGAAAAGATCTAAGCCAAATCCTTTTCTCTTCTCACTCCTGTTGTCATCTTTGTTGCTTATTTTTCTTTTATATCTTTTAAGATTTACTGTATGTGGCTATATCCACAGCAACTGATCATCCTAAGATCCTTAGGAAACCAATTTTCCAAAAATTGTTTAATGTCAACCCTCAGTGAGACAAAGTAATATTTTCGTAACAGTGAAGTGTTTTTAGAATATTTAAATCCAAGCTAAACAAAATATGAGCATCAAGTTTGTCTTGATCATCCACTTATTGCCATTTGTTTTTCTATCTATATTGGATTATGAAAGTCTAATCAAAGTTCTGAAATTGCATGCATATCATAAATCATGTGTTATTAATGTAACTCGACATTTGGATGTAATAAAGTCGGTGCAGACAAAATTGCATAGTGTTTTGTTCAACAGTACACAAGTGTACATTTTGAATGTGGTTTTTAATGCTAGGTTTGAATTGGATTAGATTGCTTTTTTACAACCTGTTTAGTGTTGCATATCACTGTAGAGTAATGAACAATATTACAATAATAATGTAATAGGTCAAGTTATATAGAATGTCATGAACAGGGTGTCTGTGTGTTCTACATCCAACTTAAAACGTGAATTAGACAGACAGAAAAAAAAATGTCTATGTACATTATGTTGTTTTACTAAGTATTACAGTATTTTTATTTAATGTACTGCGTAATTGTGCAAAGTTTATGTTATTCCTACCTTGTACGACTATATATGAAATACCGGTACATACGGTAAATCCCAGTATGGGAGGCTTTTTTATTTTTAACCATATTTATAGAATGTGACCCTTCCAATGTATCTTAGAAGGTCGGCTAATATTCAGGGGCCAACTTTGAATAAATGAAATAATGTGATGCTTTTATCAGCGAAGTCCCTGTATAAGGCTTAGGGAGTGGAGTTTTTTTACTGTAGTCCTCTAAGAAAAAGTCTTGCTGTCATAGGAATTGAGCACAGAACCCTGGGATTAAAATAGGCAAGCATCCACTAATTTATTCAACTCCACTCCATTGATGATGTATCGCACAGTTAATGTAGGATTTTATATTCACAGCAGGCATAAATCCCATTGCTCTCCTGGTCATTCAATTTTTTTGTGATCATATTTTTGTTGCAAGGTTTTTTCATACCATAAATGGGCTTGCCATGCCAAAATCTAGCACTAGTGACCAAAACAAGAAAATTGACTTTTTAATACAGGTCTCCCTCTAATTAAGAACCTTCCAATTAAAGAACACCTCAGATTAAGGACCACTTTCCTGTGGTTCCATTTGAATTCCTTTCCTTTAACATTAGCTATACCCTTCAATTAAGGACTTCCTCTATTTAGAGACCAAAGACCATGGTTATGGTGAACCCAAATGAAAATTTTCCCTCTAATTAAAGATCGCTATGAAGTAAATAGTGATGTTAATGCTATGATTTTCTATAATAAATTTTATTATAGGGTTTAAAACAAAAATATTAGCCAATACACATCATAAGATGTTGTTTTGTGTGTGTGTTTTTTTTTTTATATAATCACTTTTTAATAAATTATATTTATCATTTTATATTATTCAAATAATGTATAACTTAAATTGAATTGAATTGAGTAGCGATATGTCAGCAGGGTTGTTAGTAATATTTTAATGGAAAGTTATTTAGAACAAGTACAGAAAATGTCTTGATTGCAGAGAAATCCTTTGAAATATAAATAAATAACAGCATGCAGTAACTTGTACATCAATTCTAAACCATTTAATACATTATTTCTCCTATGTTACTTCTACGGATTAACAAGATAAGAAACGTATCTCAACTGCATTTTGACTCCACATAAAGCTGGTGGAACCACAACATTTCTGATCATTACTAAAAAACTTAATAAGAATATGTCCAATGGTAAAATCATGTAAGAGACCTAAATTATTGACATAATAAATAATAAATTGTTATTTATATAGCGCATATTGCAAGAACTGCCTCTATGCATTTAACAACAACTAAAATGGATATAATAAAAAAAAAAGATAATATAGTAGTGATACGGTGTGGTGGCAAGCAGTGCATGGTCTCTTAAAGTCAACCATCCGCCTCTGCTCTGGCATGAGCAGTATTTTACAAAGTCCCATAAAAATTAATTCTCAAGTCTGTCGTTTTCAACAATTCTACAAGTACTAGACATAGGCCTATACCTTACTGGCTAGGTAGGTCAAATTAGGCCACTATTTATGTTGCAGCTATTATTATTACTCCATCCTGGGTCTCTGAAGGAGACTTGGGAACCCTGGGCCCTAAATGTGGTCGTTAGATTTCTCTCTTTTTTAGTGAAATTAGGAAATAATACCTTTAATGTTTTAAAATGTATGAGTACATGTGCTTACTGTCTGCTTACATGAAAATTGCAAAATTTTGCAGATAGGTTCTTTTCCGGGAGATTCTTGCCTTTAGGAGTGTGTGAAGCCGTCTCGATTTCCGGGATTGGATTGGATTTGGAGGGATTCTAATTAGAGACCAAAGCTGCTAAAGACCACCAAAATCCTGGTCCCATAAGTGGTCTTTAATTGGAGGGAGACCTGTATAGTATTTCACATTAAGCTTTAAAATGATAGGTCATTTACGGAAATCAACTTATTTGCCAAAGCTATGAGCAAAACTTGTATTATGGCTTCTCTACTAAAGTATACAACACAGCCACATTCATAATTACTCAGTTTAACCTTTAGTGACAGTACGCTGGTTTTGGGATTGAAGCCTCAAAATGTCATAATAAAAAAAATATATATTTTGCACGCTATTTTTATGAGCAAGTGAGTATGCAGAATTGAACATACTGTAGGTGCTTTGCAATCTGGACATTTCGTAACCAAGGCATTTCAGGTCTCAAAATGTCCAGGTTGCAAGATATCAGTGGTGGAGTCGCTGGGGGCTCTGGATTACAGAATGTTGACCTTTCCATATTGAATAATTGCTGTATAAATGTAATTTTTGGTTTTCTTTAAGTTGTACAGTATACAGTTTTTTTATAATCAGGAGTGGATCCAGCGGGGGCCATGAGGGCCCGTACTCCCCTGTCAGTCAAGCCAAAAAATAAAAATGAGTGAGAAAAATTTCAGATAAAAAGAGGAAAAAGGAAAAAATGAGTATACCCATGAGTTCAGTCTGGCGATCTGGCATTGGGGTGAAAGGAGAGCTTGATTATTTGCCACTTATTTACACCAACCATGGTGGGGCTGAGGTGGGCGCGGCGGCGAGAACTTCATATTGTAATCTAATTAACTTATAGGTTAATGAATTGTATGTTTACTATTTTGAATATTTAATAATGATAATGGAGTTTGTAATTTGGTGTTTTTGAATGTATTTTAATTTTTTGTTGTTTGTAATCTTTAATTTTTGTATTACAATAATTTCAGACTGGTTTTGCTTTTTGTATTTTACTATATACCAGAATTAAATTTTAAAAAAATAAAATAAAATATGTGCCCCTTCCCCGTGAAATCCACCATTCAAATTTTTTTAATTTAAATTTGTTAACTTTTGTTCCCTTCTCCTTCACGGACTTGTAGAAGAACAACTTTTGTTGAAACAAGTTTTCCTATGTGAAAATAAAGCTAATTATTATATGTATTATAAATTTCTTTTCTGAGTAGCAGCAATACTATATTTAAGGGGAAAAAAACCCATCAATTTCGATATGTTTTATTTCAGATTTAATGCTGACATAATCGGTTGTTTCATGATGATTTCTCAGCGAACATTTGTTGCTGTAATCCTGTTGCTCACGTCATCACAAATCGGTCATGGCCGTAAGTACTTCTCAAAGAGATCATTCATTTCCTCACAGTCTATTTTCATTTCGTGGAATTATTTTTCTTGGTGGTTGGAACTATGTTAATGATAACAATAATAACAAAAATTGTATACTGGTGCATTTCGTAGGAAAACATAAATGGATAGATACAAAAATGGAGAGCATTAAAGTCACAATATAAACCATCGCGATATAGAAAATAATATATTAATGAATACCGTAATAATAATTATTGCAATAATTGCTTTTGTGCACTAATGAAGAATTAATAACAGGAAAAGAGAACATCTTTTATCTGTACATTTAAACAGTGGTATTGCCAACAGTGACAAAGGAGTTTGCATGAACGCATATTCTCCCCAAAAAAGCTCGCATCCCCAGTCGCCCCAACCCCCACTTGAAATTTTTTAAGCAGAAATGTTATACTAAAGTAGATATGACTTCATACTACGGTACCTTGTTTGTCCAGCTTGCTCCCCTCATTTTATCATCAAGTTCCCATCTCCCCCATTTCAGTACAGTATTCCCCTGGGTATGCCACTTGCCAGCAGGTCATGGTTTAATCCAAACATCACTGTATGCAATAAGCTAGGTTTTTGCAGTTTCCACAAAATTTCTTCTGGTGCCATTACCGTTGACATGTAAAATAACTTTGTTTTAATGCAAGACAGTAATGAATGAATATGTTAATGTATAGAAATTGTTTAGATTTTTGTTGAAAAAATAATATTGCTGTGGTTTTGATTGGAAAATAAATAGTACGTTTCAATTTTTTAAATTTTTTCTACAAACCAAAAAGTATGCGGTAAGTGATGCTTGGTAACAAACCCTAAAATTAGGCTTAAGCGATACTTTTTTTTGTAGTACCTTGTTTTGCGAACCCGCCGCCCGCCAATAATGATGGTTTCAATTAAAAATAACCTTTTATTTTTGGCCAATTAGTGCGCCTTCTGCCACGTGAAAATGGAAATTTAAGCAGAGCTATAAAAAGTTAATTTTTTTTGCTGGACCAAGGTCTAGTTTTACTAAAATAATTGCTAGCCCTGTATGGGTATATCATCTATTGAATATTAGTCTAGTTTTAATGTATTTTATTGCTAGCCCGGCACTAAAATACTCAAGTCCTGGACCCAGGACCACCACCTTTTTGCAGCCCTGTTAAGGAAAAAATTTTTCTTTATTTTTATTACTGCCACCGCTGCCTAGAAAAATCTCTAAAAAGTAATGAATTCAACCAAATTATATAAATTTAAAGCATTTAACCATTCCATTACTAAAATCTTTATATTCACCAATAAAAGTTTATTTTTATTATCTCCTCTGTCTGGATGTTTCTGGCAAAACTATTTGCTAAATAAAAAACATATTTTTATTTTTTTTCCCGCCCTCATCTGGTGACCCTTAAAAAATTAAGTTCACGAAACAAGGTATAAAAAAAAGTCTCGCCTAAAACTAAGCCTATTTGATTACAGGGCGAGCAACCATGATGTTAAAATGCCACTCTAGGCAACCTAGGAAATTTTTAGCATGACCTAACCTACAATACCAAGGTATTAACGGATGTTAAATCCGTAAATATTTTGTAAGCTTTCACTTGGGAACATTACCAGCTTACCTTTAGGTCATTATATCCTTATAGTACTGTAGCTAGATCAGAAACACTTGCCACTAGGTGGCATCAGTCTATGAGGCCTATGGGAGGAAGTACTACATCAAATGATGCTCAATCGCCCAGAACAAGTACTATATAATATAATAATTATGTCAAAAAACATATTTTTTTTAATTGCAAGCCAAAGCATACATTAACATTTGCAATTTACTGTTATAGCATCGCCATTCATTGCTGTAACGTCTCTGCCCTTTTTTATTTAATTTGGTGATATTCAAAAATTTTGTTTAGGAATATTATTTCATTTAATTTCAGTACTATTTTCAGACAATTTAGAATATTGTTTCTACATTAGCAATTTTAATGAAACCAAAAAAAAAATTGTACCTGATTTCTGTACACAGTTGCTTCTCATAACATATTTTGATTATTTTGAATGTGTTGGTTGAGGTGTGTGTAAATTCAAATAACAATTCAATAAAATCAATTAGTATTACAACAACATAAACACAATAGTATCACGTGAAAGGTTATTATTTTCATGATTTGGACTTGCTTAGCAGTAATGTTTTCTGAATTGTGTGGAATACAAAGTTTACATTAATGCAAAAAATCCAATATATAAAAGGACAACAAATTTTGTTCAAAAACAAAGATAAGTTGAGTTGCTATCCTGTGACGGGATTGCACAAAAGTAGAATTAAATCTACAGTACTCTCAAGGGACTCTTCTTATTAAACAACAGCAACAGACATACAAAATTTCATACAAACAATGTACACACAATTGAATGGTGTGAAATATGCAAATATGCCATTTACGGTATGTTGTACTGCAATTTCTCCAGCAGGTCTCCACCAAAGCGTTTTTATTTGTTTATTTTTTTTCCATAACAAACCAAAACCATGACTTATTTTCAAAATACTGTATATGACGCAGTAAATTGTAGTATGTATGTGTAGTTGTTAATTATTTAAATAGCAAAATTTTGCTCTAATGTACCATGCTTGACTGAAAGCTAGAGTAAGTCAATTACAATTCAGGGTTTAAGCTGATAAAAAAAATATTTAGCAATTTTGCTAATTCTTTACCAAAAAATTAGCCAAATAGAAATGTAAGCATATTTAGAACACAAAAATCAGCTTTTATTAGGATTTGGCTATTTGGCTAATGACAGCGTAAACACTGGCAATTAAATTTTTATAGCAAACTTCAAATAGTACATAATGTGGATTAATGTACTTATTTTGATATATGCTTATTTTTAAATTTTAATGATACCAACATTACATCACATGAATAATTATTTTAGAAGATATAATCATACATAAATACTGCAATTTTTCATATTTGTATATGACACTGGATGATTACTCTTTTCTATCAATTGACAGTTCTTCCAGACAGACCAGGTAAAACATTTCTATAGCTTTTGTAGATTAATCATAATGTAGTTATGTTTATAGAGCAGCGATAACATCAAACCCTCTTGTTTTTGTCTGTGTTTTTGTTGCAGACCAATGTTTTGGTTCCCTTGGCTTTGTGTGACCTTTATCCCTAAAAATTTGCATGGTAGACATTTTAGAATGTGTACAATTAATAAGTAATTTTGGCTATGGAATTAATAATTGACAGAATATAATTAACTCCACCTGTATTATAAATAAATCTTTATGTTTATTTTTTATTATTTTTTAAATACAAATTCTTGATTTTGCGTGAAAACGGCTGATATTCTATGTGGTGAGTAAGACCAATTCTTTTCCGTATCAGTAATCCGGAATGATTGAATTAATTATTAGGATCAGAATTTATTTCATTGGATGCCTTGGATTTAAGATACTATTAACCGCAATCTGTTCTGTTAGCGTGATGGGATGTGCTTTATCATTAGCTTATTTGTTTTGTGTTTCGTTCTGGGAGAAATAGATTTTATGGTTCCCCCTTCAAATTTATACTAACTTTAAATATTAATAATTAGGGTATAATAGATTTAGAAAATAGATGAATAGTAGTTATCTGTTTTTTGTAATTTGTATGCTATTTATATCCTTTTGATACTGACAACTATACTTCAGATATATGAAAAGATACAAACAACATTATCTGCTTGAAATTTAGGCCTACATTACTACAGTATGTATTTAGAGTACTGTACATATAGCTATATAGTATGTTACAGTACATATTCCATATTTACCCAAGAATACGGTAGTTTGTAGTTACTGTATTTCCAAATTATTTTGGGAAAAGGTAATTGCATTTTGTTAAGAATAATACTGTATTTAGTCATAGAGACCTGGAAATTAGTGGGTGTTTTAATCTGTAATATAATTCTAATTGAACCAAAACCACAATACTTTACTATCAATTTACTTTTCTAGTCCATAGTGCTTAAATATTCAGAGACAGTTTGTTACAATTGATCTTTATCAAAAGACAAGTGATTTATCATAATTTCTTAATGTTACCTAATTGCTAAATTCATTATTTATGACGAGTTTCTGTTCCTCGTCATTAAATTTAGACTGAAACATAGAGTGATCAAAAATGTATTTACAGTTGATTCTGTGAACTCAATTCATGCAACAAACGTACATAGGAGTCATTAAATATATTTATTGTAAAAGATGCTAAATTCATTATCTACGACGAGCTTCTTTTCCTCGTCATTAAATTTAGACTGAAAAGTAGAGTGATTAAAAATGTATTTACAGTTGATTCTCTGAACTCAATTCACGCAACAAATGTACATAGGAGTCATTATTAAATATATTTATTGTAGAAAATGCTAAATTCATTATCTACGATGAGTTTCTTTTCCTCGTCATTAAATTTAGACTGAAAAGTAGAGTGATTAAAAATGTATTTACAGTTGATTCTCTGAACTCAATTCACACAACAAATGTACATAGGACTCAGAGTCATTATTAAATATATTTATTGTAGAAAATGCTAAATTCATTATCTACGATGAGTTTCTTTTCCTCGTCATTAAATTTAGACTGAAAAATAGAGTGATTAAAAATGTATTACAGTTGATTCTCTGAACTCATTTCACACAAATAACGTACGTAGGAGTCATTACTAAATATAATAGAAATGTTATTGCCTTTGTATCCTTTTTAGTGTTTCTTGGTGAGTTGATATAAATTCAAGCAGAACAAACAGGTTTTCTCTTCTGGCATGCATGTGGGTATATGTGTAAGAATAGGGTGATAAGATTATAGACAGTTCTGAGTTAATGTAGGAAAGAGGTGTAACAGTTTATTATGGTTTTTTTAACAAAACAAAATATCCAAATGTTAAATTAATAGTCATACACTTTTCGTGGGAGTGAGGGTGGTCACAGTGAAGAGTATGTTTTGTACTCTCCTAAAAATGAATAATAAAAATGAAAAGTTCCATATTTTTTTTTTAGAAATGAATATCAAATGGTTTATAATGAGATGAATAAATATATCTATAATCAAGTTCAAGTGTGATTCATTTATGATTTTAATCAAAATGATTAAAACCAGAGAAATGCTAAGCTACTGTTGCATTATTATCTGTTTAAAAGTTCTTAAAACAAAAGCATGCTAATTTTGGAAGTCACTGCATGCGGCCGTTCCAAGGCAAAACAACGTAACTGCACAAAAACAAATTACTGTAATTTAGCAGTTGCGTTGTTTTACCACGGGATGGCCGCAGAGACCTTTTTTTTTCCTGAATTTTCTTAAAAACATCTAATTTATTTTCACATTGATACAATTTAGACAATTGATGAAGACATAATAATAATAATAATAATAATAATAATAATAATAATAATAATAATAATAATAATAAACTGTAAAAACAAAAATATGTAGACATGAACTTGTGGGAGATTCAGTAGATTAGTTTCCGAACTAACGAAGATTGAAATGGGAGAAATGCTATATACGTTACTGTAGTTGCAGCAGTGGCTTTACTATTACTGTATGTATTGCACTGATGTGTTTTGCGGTATCAATCACCCTTATATTATTGCATCCCACATTATTTATTTTTTTTTTTTTTCTGTGTAAATAAATGCATACCAATATAGTCTTTAGTAGTTAATTGAACAGTCTAGAATAAAAGCTTTGTATGTCTTGAAATAGAAAATTCAGACTAGGGCCTAGTACTAACACCTTGATAGAAGTATTATTGTATTCGCTTATAGGCAGTCATATGAATAGCTTTAGTAAAGTTGACGCAAAGCATTTGCTTATCCAGTAGTGCGTTTACCACAATTAATACTGGCAGTGTGTTAATTTTCTCATATCTCTTACTTTAAGTTGTATCTGC